ATATTCGGCACGTTGCTTGGAGCAGGCGCAATTCATCTCGGATAATGTCGCGAGAGCAACTCGAAAGGAGGCATAGCAAAAGGAGGGGAATCTATGTTGCTCCGCGGGAATCCGGGAAGGAGAGTCCTGAACATGAACTACTGGGATATTTACTGAAAGGAAAAGGAATCGAAAGAGGTGATTCGAGAATTCATAATAAAGATATGATACGAAAAGTCAACGAGTGAAGGGAAAAGTCTAAGTACCGGGGAAGGTAGAGCAAGTGGTGCGAGGCGGGAGAGAAGAGTCGTACATGCACTCCGGAGTTGCTAAAATATCGAAAACAAATATCGAAAAGGAAATGTATAAAAAGCCAAACAAACATTTATACAAAATGATGTGTAGTACCTCGGGAAGGAGTGTTAGTGATAAAAGGCGAGAATCGACATTTGTCGATATAGTCTCCGATGGATGATCCTGAAAAGATATCGAATTTTGAAGTCATGTTATAGGTCTCGATCGAAATCTAATAAATATAAAATTCGTGTAAAAGGAAACTTACGTGACTTGAGCGAGTGAGCAGGTGTTGTTTGGCCCGTTGTAGGGACCGTGTTAGAGTCCGTCGATAATGGATCAAGAGCAAATGGTTGGACGGATCGACGACTCTTCGATTTTGGTTTACGAAAATAAGAAGATCGAAAAGAAATAAAGTATAAGAATGTGGATTAATCAGACGTAGAAAAATGAATAAAACAATGAGAAATCAAAAAGCACCTTCGATTTCTTCAAAGAGGAGGAAATAGTGGCCGATTGTTTGCGCTTTCCGACGAAGGTCGATGGGTCCGACTCATCGGAGGACTCCCGCCCTCTTGTCTCTTCTCCGACCTTTCTCGACAATGATGACCTTGGAGGACTTCGAAACTGTCAATAAAAGAAGACGAGTTAACTTACAATATACAAAATCAAAAAACATGAAAAAGCGAGTAAAACTCTTACCAAAAGGTGATGGAGTCAAAATCTTGACTCGATCGATATGTACAAACCGGGGAGGCAAGAGAACCTCGGGGAGATGGAGGTAAGGGAAATAAGATAATTTCGATACAGAAATATCTTTGTTTTTGGGTTTTGGGCGAAGTGTTTCCCTTAGGGATCTCAATTCTCGAACCCATTTGGGATGAGTTAAAGATTTGGCAAGTCCAAAAGGAGCTGTGGGAAAAGTGGGAAGGCAATTTGGGCAATACATTTCGAAAGGGGTTCTACCTAGATGATTGATTATTTTGTGGTTCGATCGATTAGTGTACGTTTTATTGGATAAGGAGATAACTGGCATCGTAATAGGTCGATTCTAATTTCGGTGGGTTGTAACATATTTGATAAAAATTCTTGAATCGAGATATTTGAAGACGGTGGAAGTGTGTACCTTTCTTCGCTTTTCGATTTGTCTGCTAATACAAGAGAAGGATGAGCGAGTCAATTTTTGTCGGACCTCGTCAAAAGCGTAGAATGGTTACTCGAGAACCAATCGGTCCACCATCGAGAGAAACCCACAGTTGATAAATAATTTGACTCAAAAGCATAGGAATAAAAATGTAATGGGGTTTGTGGTAGTAATTTGACCAGCTCCCGTCCAATTGTCGATTCACTTAACTTGGACCTCGGGGAGGTATTAAAAGGAAAAAAGGGTAAGGATTGGCTCAAACCAAATTGTCTCGAGAAAAGTTGGGGGTAGTAAGTGATAAACTTAAAGTCCTTAGATTGGAAACCCGATACTAGTATATCACTGAGTTAAATAATTACTCCATACATCGACCGGCTACGATTGCAACCCGGGAGTCAAAGCAGGGAATTTTGACTTAAACCAAATTGGCCCCATAAGTTGGTCACTTACACGTCCAAGATGTATGGTAAAAGGAGCCAAAGTTGAATCAAAATTAAACCTAGTTAACAAAAAGTTAAGGTATCTACAATAAGCCGCTTCGTCCGGTTTGTGGTGAGGATGGCGAGAAGACAATCGGACACCTTCTATATTTACACTTGGGGGGACGGTGGAAGTTGGGGGAAGGATGCTCTCAAAAATCGAATTCAGCCATAACTGTATAAACCAAATAGGGCCAGAAAAATTTCCCGAAGCTTTAGGAGTACTCAAAATTTCGACAGCCTCGTCGAAAGCAGTATACACATGTGCTAGCAAAAATTTGGCTAAACATATTCTAGGTTGGCCTAAGTGAAGGAGATATGCAAGGTTAAACAGATGGGAGGAAATTTGGATTGATCGGGGGCAGAAAACATGGGTACACAACCAGTACACCAAAAATGCTATGTGCTCTTCATCAGTTACAGCTTTTGATTCGTCATCGACGAAATGCTTCTCGAGGAAATGCCCATACGCTTTCGATTCCCAATCGATTTTGGACCTTAGAGAATTATCCGAAGGACATGCACCCTTAAAATATCTTTCCCCTGTAGGTTTTAATCCAGTAATGGCTGCGACTTCGAAAAGAGTGGGCGAAAGGGGACCGCAAGGTAATTCCAAAGCATGTAATTCTTTATTCCACAAATGAACAGCAGAAAAGAACATAGCCATATTCAAATGAGATAAGTCACATCGGGATAAATGCAAGAAATCGAAAATTCTCACGTCTCTCCAATGGTTTCCGAATTTTGTCTTAACCCTATCGAACCATCTAATGAACAAAGGTTTTTTGGAGGGAGGGCCTGTTCGATATACTCTAGAGACCATATTCAAAAAATCAGTCCGAACTTCAGGTTGGTGAATAAGAGCCGGACTATTCGAGAGGTTGAGGGGAGAAAAGGTTCCATCAATAGGACGAAGAGGACCCCCAAAAGCGTAATTAACACCATCAGCAGTGTAAGGAATAAGTACCTGCGGTTCAGCAATTTTCCGAGAAGCTTCCTCCATCAGAGGGACTGGAGCGAACTTCTGATTGTTAATCTCCAGCAGGTTAGATACCAATGAGGGAAGAGGTGGAGCGGAAAAGTCAGAAGACTTGGAAGAAGTTGCCATTTCAGTAATTGGTAGATTAAAGGAAAACAAGGTAAGAGATGGAGGCGTAAGGATAAAGACAAGAGCTCAAGGAAGAAGATGAAGTTGCAAAGGGATAAAGGTTCGCGTAAAAAACCAGAGTAAAGAACCAATAGAGAGTTTAAAGGGAAAATCACCTAGGGGGCTAGAAACGACGGAGGTGAAAGGTAATTAATGTAGCGTGTACAGTAAGACAACAGACTGACGCGATGTCGACATAAAGCAAAAGGAAACCTGAAAACCCTGTAAACCCTAGAACCCCAAAAACCCTAAACTCTAAGTTTAGTGGGCCTCCAACAAGCAAAGGCGGGAATCGTGTTGAAAGAATATAAACAGAAACTATTTATATTCTTCCAAGGGGACATTTTGTTAGGAGGAAATCGAGAAAAACGATCGAAAAATGAAGGAAAGAAAAATCGAGAAACATGTAATTGATCGATAAAGCGAAGTGGACGAGAAACCATTCGATGTCCAATTAGAAGGACGTAGCACACAAAATCGAACGTTAGAGTCGGAATCAAAGGAATAATAGTTAAAAGTTTATTGTGGAATAAACCAAGAAATCAGAAGTATATGATGCTAAGGTTAAGAGGAATAAAAAATGATTCAAAGTTCTCGATAAATTTGAAATCGAGGGGAAGACTAACCTACATGGATATCAAAACCCTGGCCAAATTGTGAAGGGAAGAATAGTCAAGCGCATATACGGGAAGCAGTTTCTAAATCATGGTAGAAGTTGAAGATCGTGAGAACGTGGGTACAGTATTGAAACCATAGAAGATAAACTGCAACACGCACGTAGAACGTGGTAGCAGTTTTGTTAACTGCTCCAGGAAGGTTTGAATGATGCCCTATAAATAGAGCAAAAGAGGAAGGAATGAGGGAGCAGAAAATTGGCAGAGAACAGAATTAGTAGTGAGAAGTCTACCGGAACATGACGAACACCATGAAGCTTCTGACAATCTAGATTTCCATGCTCATCGAGTACCTTTACCGCTTTCTTTACTTTCCTTGGTAATTTATTTTGATGCACCTTATATTCAGCAATTTTCTGTTTTTGTTCTTTCGATTCCTTGTCATTTCAATTCAATAAAAGTTAAGTTTCCGCGTTTAAGTTTCCTTGTCCTTTAACATTGATGCAATTTTGATTTTCGGTATATTTTCTGCAATCTTGATTCCTTGCCATTTACATTTCCGTTCTTTCGATTCCTTGTCATTTACATTTAACGTATTTTTAAGGTTTCTGCATTTTACGGGTTTCAGCAATTTAGTATGCTGTATTGTTTTTCGATTCGACGTTTTATTGTTTTCTGCATCTTAAATACAAAACACCAAAAAAGTAGCATTTTCGATACTAGGTAAGGTTCGATCCTCGTACGTATTTCGATTTTATTGTTTTCTGCATCTTAAATACAAAACACCAAAAAAGTAGCATTTTCGATACTAGGTAAGGTTCGATCCTCGTACGTATTTCGATTGAAATCAATCGAAATTACGTGGTAAAATTTTAGTTAGTATCAAAACATATCGGGGGTTGAAATCAATCGAAATTCCACCAGAAACAATTCCATATCGTGACATCGTACATTTTCAAATATCAGTCCGAATCGATTTTCTTCTACTGATGTATGAATCTCCTTCGCCACCGGTAAAATATCTTGTCTGATATCGAAAGCACTTGGTCCGTAACCAACTAAAAGCACGATCTGTTGTTCATTACAACATTACTAAAAAGATATTTATTTTGTATAAATTTTCATGTAAAAATTTATAAAAATATTCCGATGAAATACGAAAATTTTTGATAGTGATATTTTCAAATAATTTTTTGATTATACTATTAAACAAGATAAAACCATGAACTAATCGACATAAGGGTAGTTAATTTGTGTTTTTAATATGCTGGGCCTATTATATATAATAGTGAAATTTAATATACATTATTGTCATATGTAAATTTAATTGAATAGTATAAACGTCAACGTGAAAGTACCTGGTCGCGAAAAGGTTCAGGTACACGGTAGTTATGGCTATGCATTTGGAACCCTCTCCACAGTTCGATGCCTGCAATTTCTGCAATTCTCGGAGTAGAGTTGTGTCCCGAACACAACACATTCGCTTCGAACACTTCCCGGCTCACCGAACCAGATCCCCGAACCAACGACTCCACTACCCATTCCTCCTCTTCTCTCCACTCGAACCTCGGAACTGAACTAACTCTCGGATTCCGAACTCATTGACGAACCGGTTCAAAAACCGCAACACTTCCTCGTGACCCGGGAACGTCCTCGGGTCGTCCCCGGACCTCAGGGAAGGGAAGTCCCTGAAGCATATGAGCACCCTGGGGAGGTTGGTTCGGAGGGACACGTAGACGCTGCTGTGGATCGTGTCTCGGTTCGGGTCCATACAGAGAGGGTCGGACTCGGTTCGCGAGTCGTAGACCCAGTTTCCTCCTACGACGTCGTTTGCTCGAAAACGACAACATTGTGGCTTTCGTGGAGTTCACGCGCCGCGACAAGGCCCGAAACACCCCGATCACCGCGACTTTCTCTGAACGTTTCATCCATCTAAGAGTGGTCACGAAACGACGTCGTTAGCTGTAGCGCAGCTCAAAAAGTCTGCTGTTTGTAAGATAAAAAATAGAGTGAAGGATGCTACATTTCACGTATTGTTTCCATACATAGACATTGCAACAATAGTCAAAGATTTTATTAAAAATACGATGTTATTTTACAAGTTATTTAGAAGAAAAATTATTTTATATTTTATTTTTAATGTATTAATTTTAATAGATATTTTTAGCTATGAAATTAAAAAAATTGAGGATAAAAATAAAGAATAACTTTCTTACTTTGAAAATAAAGTTGTTCCCCTTTTACATACTTTGAAAAATAAGAATAAACTATCATTTTTTTAAAATTTAATGATTTAACTATTGCATAATTATGTTTTTAAAATTAAGTGTTTCTCGGTTTTAACAATGGATTTAACAGAATATTTAACCATTTTTTGAAGTGAGAAGAGTGAAGTGAGTATAGTGATATTTGATTAATAGTGCAGAATAAGAAAATATTTTTATTATAGTTTATACGTCTCATTTGTACATATTTTTTATTATTAATTTTAAAAATAATTTTTTTATTTATAATTTACAATGTGAAAAAATTACAAAATGTGAAATTAAAAATATTTTAAAAAGAAAATGAAACAAAACAAGTAATTAATAATATTTCACGAAAAAGGTAAATGATAATTATTATTAATTAATTTATTAATTATATTAGAAAAAATGGAAAAATATAATTATAGAAACCAAACCATTAAAAAATAAGATAAATAAAATATTAGATTATGACAAATAAAACAATTAAAAAAATCCATATACTATTATTATTATTATTATTATTATTATTATTATTATTATTATTATTTCAAAATGACGTTTAACCATGAATATTAATTTTTGTTTTCTAAAATAATTTTTATCTCTCAAATTTAAATCAATTTTTAGTTTAGTCTAAATTTAAGAATAATTATTTAATCACACAAATTTAAAAATATTTTTAGTATAATAAATTTAAAATAGTTTCCAAATTTTAAATTGTAACTTTTTTAGTTTCCTTAATTTAAAAGTGAATTTTTTTTAACAATCCTACTTTAAAAGTAATACTTTAGTTTCTTTTAAATGTATTTTTTATATTTTCAACTTAAAATTAATTCATTATAATTTTTAGGGTTTATCCATTATTATTTATTATATTTTTGTAATTAACATATTTTATTAATTCATTATCTATTTAATTGCTATATTTGATTTATTATATTTCGATCGTATTTTAATATATATAGTAGTTATTCATGTAAATAGTGGTTTCAGTATATTCTTTATTCTTTAGACATACACTACAAGAAAATCGCGTATGACGGATATTTATCGCAATGTATCATTGAAAATTATCGACGAATATAAAATATTTTTGAAATTTGATGTTACAGACGGATATATCCGTCGGTAAAATAATAATTAGTTACCAGACGGATATATCCGATCGATAAATCCGTCAGTAATTTATAGATGAATTTACCGACGGATATATCCGTTGGTAAATCCATCGGTAAATTAACATTTAATTACCGATCGGATATATCCGTCGGTAAATTCATCTGTAAATTAACAATTATTTACCGAACGGATATATCCGGTCGGTAAAATTAGATAATATAATTTAATTATTCACCTAATTAAAAAATAAAATATTTTGATTTAATAATTTAATTTAATCATAATTAGATTAATTTATAATAATTTATTAAATTAAATAATTTTAAAAAATAAATATTTAATTATATATAAATATATATATAAATATAAAAATATAAATATATAAAAATATAAAAATATAAAATATATAAATATATATAAATATATAAATATATAAATATATAAATATATAAATTTATAAATATATATAAATATATAAATATATAAATATATAAATATATAAATATATAAATATATAAATATATAAATATATAAATATATAAATATATAAATATATAAATATATAAATATATAAATATATAAATATATAAATATATAAATATATAAATTTATAAATATATAAATATATAAATATATAAATATATAAATATATAAATTTATAAATATATAAATTTATAAATATATAAATTTATAAATATATAAATATATAAATTTATAAATATATAAATATATAAATATATAAATATATTTGTATATTTGTATTTAAATATAATTTATTTGTAAATTGTTATTAAGAAATTCTAGTAGCTTAATGATTGGAGTATCGTACCTCTAAGGTACAGGTTGAATCCTGCCAATAACATTTCTCTTAAACTGATAATAATTCAAAAGAAATAATTAATAATAAATAATAAGAATACAAAGGGGATGGAGTTCTATAAAAAAAATGCTATAAATAAATAAAATATTTAATAAATAATAAAATTATTACCGACGGATTTTGACCGGTCGGTAAGTTTAATATTTTTTGTAGTGATATAAGTTAATTCCAAAGAACCTATAACATCAGTATTTTCTAATTATTATTATTTGCATAAGAAAAAAATGATCATAACTAAGATTATTTTTGTAAAAAAGTAATGCTTAAGACATTCTATATTAAAAAAGAAGAAGACATTATACCTTTCTTCTTATAGAAAGGACCAAATATAAAACCTAATTTAGTTATTATAAGAATGATTGAATGAGATAATATTAAAAGAAAAACTTAATATTCATAATTTCATAACTAAAAGGAAAAAAATATTATGCAATTAAATAATTAATGTATTTTATTCATATTTTTAAACAAAGGAAAATGATGAACAAATAATTGACCGAAATGGAAAGTTTGAAATTTGCCTAAAATTTAACATCAAATACTAAAATCTTGAAACCTCATTTGTAACTAAAAAAAGTATTTTCGATACCCATGTTATTAGAATTGGGTAACTCAAAATTAATTTCTTTATATATATGAAATTAAATAGTTACAAACAAATTCAGAATCAGAAGGCTTTAATTAAATTTATTGATAATTATCATAATCAAATGAGGAAATAATGAACAATTACTACATTCCGAACCTTATTCACTAATTTTAATCATATCATAAAACTCTTTCCACCAAACAATCTCAGTCACTGGACTCTTATAAAAATCCACCAAGAATGCTCTAACAAGCACAAACTGCACTTAATTGTAGGGATTTTTCTTTTCACTTTTGTAGATGTTAATGATGGGCATGATGCCCCGTTATTCATCTCTGATTCTTGTTCTGTTGTTTCTTCAAAACATATCTTTCTCAAAAGCCCTTAACAAAGGCTTTACTGTGGAAATATTCCACCGTGATTCACCAAAATCACCATTCTACCGTTCTAACGAAACTCATTTTGATCGGGTTATGAATGCCATGCAACGTTCCATCACCCGTGCTAATCATTTCACACAATCTTCCGTCACCCCAAACACAGTCCAGTCCACTGTTATACCAAATTCAGGTGAATACCTGATGAACTATTCAGTTGGAACCCCACCATTCAAAATCCTAGGTATAGTTGATACGGGTAGTGATCTTGTTTGGCTGCAATGCCAACCTTGTGAAAACTGTTACAACCAAACCAGACCTATATTTGATCCTTCAGAATCCACAACATACCAAAACCTACGTTGCAACTCTCCTAGATGTCAATCCGTGCGAAGTTCTTGCTCAGGTGATGGGCAAACATGTGAATATAGTATTCGATATGGTGATGGCTCACATTCAAATGGAGATCTTAGTGTGGACACCCTTACTCTGGGTTCCACTGATGGTTCTAGTATCCAATTTCCAAAAACTGTGATAGGATGTGGACACGACAATACTGGGACCTATGACGCCAATGGCTCTGGCATTGTTGGTCTTTCACTTGGACCTATCTCCCTTATAACTCAACTCAATTCTACAGTAGAAGGTAAGTTTTCGTACTGTCTGGCACCATTTATTTCTCGACGATCAAATTCATCTAGCAAACTCAATTTTGGAGATGCTGCTGTGGTTTCTGGGAAAGGGACTGTCTCAACCCCTATTGTTCAACGACAAGGAGAAATATTTTACTTCCTAACCCTAAAAGGATTCAGTGTGGGAAACACTAAAGTGGATTTTGGAAGCTCTTCCTCTGAATCTGGTGGAGAGGGGAACATCATAATTGACTCAGGGACAACTCTCACTCTTTTGCCAGAACATGTTTACTCAAATTTAGAATCAGCAGTAGCAGATGCAGTTAAACTAAAGCGTGTTGACGACCCAAAACGATTTTTTAGTCTATGCTATGAAACTACATCTAATGAAGTAGATTTCCCAGGAATCACAGCACATTTTAAAGATGCAGATGTGTTGTTGAATGCTACCAACACTTTCGTTCAGGTGGCTGATGGAGTAATATGTTTTGCTTTCCGTTCAAGTACAACCGCGATCTTTGGAAACGTGGTACAACAAAACTATTTGGTTGGCTACGACCTCGAACATCAAACAGTGTCTTTTAAGCCCACAGATTGTACTAATTATAAGAAATGATTGTTGTAGTTTGTTTTACTTTGGTTGAATAAAGAAAATGTGTTATTATTGTTCATTATATTCTAACAAATAAATAAAAACAAAAATCCTCATAAAATTGAACATTTAAAAGAAATAGAGGAAAACTATCTGTAAAATAATCCTTGTATGAATGTTCAATTGCTGCATGTCGTAATCTACAACGAACATTTGACACAATATTAATCAACACAAATTTGTGACAAAATAAAATCAGGGAATCAATTTTAATTTTATTTTCAAATCAATAACATTTTAATTAAGTACAATTTCATAGTCATCATTTATGTATTAATTTTGGCTTCAAACAAAAAGATGTTTCATTCAGCCAAGGAAATTTGAAGGAAATCAGAAGTTTACTCACAAAAAAAATAATCAAATCAAAGTGAATACGTGGTTGATCATGTCATTAATATACATTAAAACATCATTATTATAATACTTACATTATGCAAATGATTTTTTTTAAAAAAATAGTTTCTGTTTCAATCAAATGAAAACTTCACTAAGATAATCTTGTTATAAAACTTCCGTTATCACATGCATTTATTATTAGAGATTTCCATGTCCCCAATTAAAAAACGATGTAAGTTTTTTTTTTTTTTTTGACGATGTTTGTTATTAATAAATTAATATAATTCACATAAATAAGTACATCACGTCATACCTTGAACCCATGTTTTAAGAAAATAAAATACATATTTCTCTCTCGTTCAAAAAATGTTGAAATTGTAACAATTTTGCGATTCACTTTTCCCCGTTTGTCTCTGCATAATCCTACATATCCTGTATCGTTATTTATCTGGATGTTTTTTTTTTTTTTCTAATGTGGCTTATTATATATCCTAAGTGATATTACTATAGAATTTTAAATTAGGACCATTTGGTTACACAGGTGGTAAGCACTTATGTCTACCAATATGTTAATCTTTAATTTGTATTTGCTGATGAATTTCAAATGTTAAATCTCATAAAATCCATCAATTAGTCCACAAAGAGAGATAAACTAAGATCCAAATGACACAACTCTGTTAAGCCTAAATATTACAAAAAATCGAAAAAATAATTGGGCATCAAATAGTTGGAAAAAGTGAATATAAAAATCGAGAATGACGTATCAAAGTAGAAGAGTAGTTAAGATTGAGTTTTTCAAGAAAAGATAAAATATTGACAAATTAAAAATTGATGAATTAAAAGAGAAGAACATAAAAAATGAGGAATCAAAGATCTAAATAGTAAAATAAATATGAATATATCGAAAGGAAGTTACATGAAAATATTTTTCATTAGTGCATTGAAAGATTGTTGAAGGCGGTTAAAAAACAAGTTTCATAGAATGTGCAAATTATGAGTGAACGTGTATTAACAAGGTGAAACAGTTACAAAAGAATAATTGTTTGCGAGATTTTAATTTATAATTTTAATTTTATTATTTTTATGGTTGCTTTTTCGGTTACAAAAAATAATATATATAGGATAAAATAAAGGTAAAAAGGGTGATTGTCAAATTGTACAACTTACATTCCGAACGCTGTGAACTGGAAACAAGCATTTTCAATGAAATTTTTTACAATTTGGATCTCTACTTTAGTTGATTTCCTCTATCAATTTTTGTTTTATCATTGGTAATAAGTTAGATTTATTTTTATGCTATTTAATTTTCTGCACATTAATTTTTTCAGAAATTTACTTTTACAATTCTTTATTATATTTGCAAGTTATTTTAAATGTTTCAAATTATATTAAATATAAAAATTGAATGCGAATAATATTTCATTGAAATCCAGTGTGTATTGAACTTTGAGTGAAATTAGAAACCCACATAATGTTTAAGTAATTCAATGCGTAAAGTGTATTAATTATATTGAATAGCGAATTATTTACACTAGAAATAAATTGACATGCCCGGTGGGACTCATTAGTTACATTAGTGCATGATATTAAAAAGTGGTAGAGTTGTAATGATAAATCAAAATTCACAAGTTTCAGGACCAATACCAAATTCTACGGTAATACCCAGTGTTAATACTAATGAAAGTCAGAACGTGAGCTGAAGTGAAATGGTTCAGGGCAAAGGAACTCTAAGTGGTCAGGAACCAATTTAGTTAATACATAATAATAGTAGATGATCACATATGAATAGTGGGAACACATAAGCCCATAAGAATAATTAGGGAATTCCAACAGCGGAAAGATATCCTTGGGGAATGCCACCATGGCAACCAACTCCAGGTTCTAATAGGGTGAATGATCAAAGTCAAGATCACTTGAGATTGGAGAATAATGGTACGGGGAATACTGAAAATGGTTAAGGTGATTCCAATAATGTAAACACTAGAATATCCAATAACATGTTAGGGGTTATAAGACAACAAATGGATGATAATAATCATGAAATGATCAATATGTTATCTCAACAGATACCGTTACTTTAAATCCATTAGTACAAAAAATTGCTGATAGTTTTCAAAGGCTAGTCGAAGAAATGACAAGGGTAGGAGATGCACTTGAGATTCCGAGGAGGAATAACATAATAAATGATGATATGCCAGGAAGAGATAATCACCAAAATGAACCCCTTGAAAGACAAAATAATGATAATCAAGATATGCGAAGGAATAATGGTAATTGGCAGAGAGATGTTAGAATGGTTAATAGAGGTCAAGATGCAGATCAGATTTTGCATGTTTGGGATAATATAAAAAGGAATCAGAATAATGAGGGGAATTATCAACAAAATGCTTATAATCACGTAATCGGGAATTGAAATCAGCTGGAAGAAGGAATGAGATTATATAATTAGCCATATTTTATTTCTCCTTTTCCTGATTTTGTGTTAGAAGCATAATTGCTTAAAGGACAGCAAATCCCAAAATTTACAAAGTTTGTGGGAGATATTGGAAATTCTACTGTCGAACACATAACGAGGTATCAGATTGGGTCTGGAAACTTATTAACAAGTGGAAGTTTAATGATGAATACTTTCCAAGCTCTTTGATAAAAAAAATGCTTTTACTTGGTTTACTACCTTGCCTCCGAATTCTATGTTTAATTGGGAACCGTTAGAGATCATGAACAATTTTTTAGAGGAGAAACCCAAGTTAGTTTGATTGATTTGATGAATGTGAAAAGAGATCATAATGAAAATATAGACGATTACCTGAATAGATTTAGACAAATGGGATCAAGATGTTTTACACAAATCCCTGAAAGATAGGTAGTGAGAATGAGAACGACAGGTTTAGAGTTTTCAATAAGGAAAAAGTTAGTAAATACACTTTCAAGAGATATGGCACAGTTAACAGATAAAGTTTGGAGAATCGAGCAAATTATATATGAGAAAGAAAGGTATAATAAATTCGGTAAGGTGGTTAAAAGAGATAAAATTAGATATGTTGGATTAGATAATTTTAATAAATTGTCAGATATTGTAAAAAAAATGAGGTAGGAGAATTAAGTGAAAGTGACGAGGAAATACATGTAGTTGAAATCAAATTCGGTCCTCCTTATTATGTAAGTTGTTACAAAAGAGTGAATTTTATGATAAAATGGTGTTAAACATACAAGGATATGAAGCTTGAAGATTTTGATGATGATTCAAAGACAAAAGACTTAGAGATTTGAAGACTTGTAATCATGTGTATTCACTTGTAATAACTCTATTTTATGTTTCTGAGTTTGTAAAATTAGAGTCCAAGATAGCCAGCACATAGTCCATCCTCTAAAACCTCTAAAAGCTCATTTTTATCAAAAATACAGTGATAATCGGTTATCACAGACTGAAAATTGTTTTTATGAAAAGCTTACTATGATAATCGATTATCACTCAAGATAATTGATTATCCCAGCCAAATAATTGATTATTCAGCCAGATAATAGATTATCCTAGTCCTGTTTTGCTCCTCTGCGAAAATGGCTTTGGAATAATCGATTATCACTCAAGATAATCGATTATTTACGCTTGTTATGAGTTTTGAAATTCAAATATGGACCAATTTACGAAAACCCTATTCCCAATTCTTATGTTTTCGAAAATCATCATTTCCCAGACCTTATTCTCTCTACTTAAGGTTCTCTAAGGCTCTCTGCAAAAAAACAAACCTTTTTCATACAAAAGTTAAGAGCTGTGATTGTGAGAACTTTCTGTAGGGAAGAAAAAGGGGCTTTTGAAAACCTAGTGTGGGCTAGAAGCGATAAGAATCACTAAGTGGGTTTCTTGGTGGATTGTGTGTTGTGCCGTCTCTAGGAAAAGCTGTTGTTCATCCTTTGTGGATTCAAAGGAGGTGTTCATCTCTTGTGTGACTCAAGAGAGGTGTTTTCTATTCCTTATCTTTTCAATTTATAATCTGTTTGTAAACTGTGATTATAGTGACAACGTTAATCCTCTTTTTTGAGTGATTAGCAACTGGACGTAGGGTCTTTTGATCCGAACCAGTATAAATCAACTGTGTAATCTTCTTTCCCTTATCTCTTTACTTTACAAAGCATTTAAAACGGTGAAATTTGGGAAAAATTTTAAAACCCTAATTTTTGTTTAAGAAAACAATTCACCCCTATTGGTTTTTGTTCGTAAACGCAAATATTCCGCTATGCGATTCTAACAAGTGGTATCAGAGCTTGCTTTGATAGTCATTCAAATTTTGAAAATGGTCGGACAAAACCAAACCTTTGCCGAGGGTGATTCTATCAATAGACCCCCACTTTTTGCGGGGCAAAATTATCCTTATTGGAAAGTAAGAATGCAAATATTTTTGGAGTCTGTTGATAGGGGTGTATGGGATGCAATTTTAAACGGTCTTTTTATTCCTAAAGTTACTAAAAATGGAGAAGAGGTATCAAAACCATTTTCTAGATGATCGACTGAAGAAAATAGGAAAGCCCAATATGATGTTAGGGCTAAAAATATAATTTTGTCTGCTTTGACCCTTGATGAGTTTTACAGGATATCTGTTTGTAAGAATGCTCAAGAAATGTGGGAAATGTTAAGAGTAACCCATGAAGGTACCGATGATGTTAAAAGAGCACGAAAGAATTCATTGATTCAAGAATATGAGATGTTCTGGATGCAACAAGGATAAACGATTTCTGACGTTCAGAAGCGTTTCACATATATTGTGAACCATCTCACCGGGTTAGGTAAAAATTTTAATATTGATGAGTTGAATGTAAAAATTCTTAAATCTTTGGATAGGAAATGACAACCAAACACTACAAAAAAAGCCTATTATCTACAAAATATTACCTACGGATAAAATCCGTAGGTAAATTGTACATTACCTACGAATATTACCCACGGATAAAAATCCGTAGGTAAATTATACATTACCTATGGATATTACCTACGGAATTCTATCTGTGGGTAATTATCTATTACCTACGGATATTATCCGTAGGTAATGTCATCTATGGGTAATTTTGTAGGTAATTACCTACGAAATTACTATCCGTAGGTAATTACCTACAAAATTATTATCCGTAGGTAATTACTTATGGAATTATTATCCATAGGTAAATTATATCTAATTGTATGTAAGTTATCCATTACCTACGTTTTTCAGTGGGTAATTTTGTAGGTAAATTATATTAAATTAAAAGAATTGTCACTAGCAAGAATCGAACCCAATACCTTATATATAAATATAAATATATAAATATATAAATATATAAATATATAAATATATAAATATATAAATATATAAATATATAAATATATAAATATATAAATATATAAATATATAAATATATAAATATATAAATATATATAAATATATATAAATATATATAAATATATGAAAATATAAATATATTTGTATTTATATATTTTATATTTATATATTTTATATTTATATATTTACATGACTAAATATAAATATAATTTATTTGTAAGTTATTATCAAAATATCCTAATAGCTTAGTGGTTGGAGTATCGAGTCTCTAACTTTGAGGTACATTGGATTCAAATCCATAAAAAATAATATTTTGTTCAAGCGAGTGCCTACGACCGGATTTCCTACGGAAAAAATCCGTAGGTAAAATGACATTACCTACTTTT